ATACAATAAATAATTGAAAACCGAGACTCGTAGAGAGTATCAATTATCATTTAATTCTGAGAAATAACTTCCAACGACGTTCCCGTATAAAAATTCTGATACTGAAATTCATGAAGAGACGCAAGCTTCATGGACCATTGCCTCGAAATACAACTTCGTCGAAACAATAACAGAAACCCATAATGATCATACAGAGTCAATAAGGATCGATTCAAGGATTGAGCCAACAAAAATAACGTTTACAATTTTAAATGCGAGTATCACAAAATAGCATTATTCTTCATTGTGATAAATAAATTCGCACGATAACGGTGGAGCAACAAAACAGTGGAAAGCACGGAGTGTCGTAAAAACCGAAATAATGTCAGACGGAATCAAGCGAGGAGGGAAACGGGTAAGGCAGTATAACAGTGACGGGTGTTCTTTTCACTGGCACCCTCGGTGACGTCGATCCGAGGAAGGTACCGAATGAAATGAGCGAGAGAAACAACGATCCGGCTTTATCGTCTCGTTTATTGTCCGGGCATTATTTCGTCGGTACAAAACAACGCCAAAGGGTTACTGCGTACGCGGTGATATGGGGGGGGGGGGGGGGGGGGGGGGGAGGCGGTCGAATCATTGTCCCGGTTCTCTTGCGTTACGACGACTAGTAATTGAGGGTCTGCATCGGATGGCGTTGCATCAAACACTACAACCCGAAATCTCTGCCTCGAGAGGGTTGTTCCCATTTTTTTTCAACCCAGCCTTTTTCAAACCAACGTCGCTGTTTTTTCTACCAGGCAAGGTCGTGACACGGTTTCGTGACAACGTGCAAATGGCAACTTCAACGTGTAATTTCAAGTGATCTTTATAGGAAACAGATCGTATTTCTTTGACTGAACTAAATTTAGGGCAGCTGTAAGAAAAGAAATGCATCTAGAGAAAGAATGCTAGCTCGTTTTTTTCCATCCCTAACGAAAGGGTTAACGCTAGAAAGACTGAAACTTAGTATATACCTATATTGCCCAAAAGCAGTCAAAATCTGCCTAATCTAGATTCGTGTAATACCGTCTACATC